GTGCACTGATGGCTGTAGTCGTGCACTGATGGCTGTAGTTGTGCACTGATGGCTGTAATTAAGCACTGATGGCTGTAGTTGTGCACTGATGGCTGTAGATGAGCACTGACGGCTGTAGCTGTGCACTGATGGCTGTAGTTGAGCACTGATGGCTGTAGTTGAGCACTGACGGCTGTAGCTGTGCACTGATGGCTGTAGTTGTGCACTGACGGCTGTAGTTGTGCACTGATGGCTGTAGCTGTGCACTGACGGCTGTAGTTGTGCACTGATGGCTGTAGTTGTGCACTGACGTCTGTAGTTGTGCACTGATGGCTGTAGCTGTGCACTGATGGCTGTAATTAAGCACTGATGGCTGTAGTTGTGCACTGATGGCTGTAATTAAGCACTGATGGCTGTAGTTGTGCACTGATGGCTGTAGTTGTGCACTGATGGCTGTAATTAAGCACTGACGGCTGTAGTTGTGCACTGTTGGCTGTAGTTGTGCACTGATGGCTGTAGTTGTGCACTGATGGCTGTAGTTGTGCACTGATGGCTGTAATTAAGCACTGACGGCTGTAGTTGTGCACTGATGGCTGTAGTTGTGCACTGACGGCTGTAGCTGTGCACTGATGGCTGTAGTTGTGCACTGATGGCTGTAATTAAGCACTGATGGCTGTAGTTGTGCACTGATGGCTGTAATTAAGCACTGATGGCTGTAGTTGTGCACTGACGGCTGTAATTAAGCACTGATGGCTGTAGTTGTGCACTGATGGATGTAGTTGTGCACTGACGGCTGTAATTAAGCACTGATGGCTGTAGCTGTGCACTGATGGCTGTAGTTGTGCACTGACGGCTGTAGTTGTGCACTGACGGCTGCAGTCATGCAGCACTTTTGCACTCCATCCCCACAACAACAGCCGGCCGCTCTCCCTCCACCATTCACCCCCCTCCCGTCCGCCCCTCCCCAACCCTCCCCCCCAAATCCCAGCATCCCTGACCCCAACGAAGACCCCCAACCCCCCTCCCACCTCCCGCCCCCCCCCTCAAAGTGCCTCCATCCCCAGATAAGGGTGCAGCTGTGCGGGGGGGGGGGGACGGGGAGGAGGGGGACGGGATGGGATCGCGGCCGGGGGCTGCGGAGATGAAACGTCCCGATGATGGATGGAGATCGGCCGCCCCTTGAAGTTGTGATGCTGGGAGGACCGGCGGCGTGGGGGGGGGCGAAGATGGGGGGTGGGGGGGGAGTTTAGGGCCGGGGGGTTTTGTGGGGTTGGGGAAGTTATGGAGGGGGAGGAGGGGGGAGATGGTGTTGATGTTTTGGCAGCCGTCCCCGCTGCTCTGCTCTGCTCCTCTGCTCTGCGCGGGTGGAACCGAAACGGAGCGCGGCTGAGAGCGGCTGGAGGAGGTGTGAGGCTGCCCTATTGCTTGTGGGGCTGCCCTAATCCTTGTGGGGCTGCCCTATTCCTTATGGGGCTGCCCTAATCCTTGTGGGGCTGCTCTAATCCTTGTGGGGTTACCCTAATGCTTGTGGGGCTGCCCTATTGCTTGTGGGGCTGCCCTAATCCTTGTGGGGCTGCCCTATTCCTTATGGGGCTGCCCTAATCCTTGTGGGGCTGCCCTAATCCTTGTGGGGCTGCCCTATTACTTATAGGTTTATCACAACTGCCCTATGGCTTATAGGTTCATCACTGCTACGCTATTACTTGTGGGGCTGCCCTATTGCTTGTGGGGCTGCCATATTCCTTGTGAGGCTGCCCTATTACTTGTGGGGGTGCCCACGCCGTGATTAATGACATTAATTAGGTGCAGCTCCCTCCCCCCCCCCCCCCCCCCCACCCCTCGCCGCCATTCGTTTTTGCGGGGCGCAGGAAATTAAAACGCCGTCTCCACAATCAGTGCTAAATGAAAGAAATATGCAGATGTGCCCCTGAGCGCGACTGGGGATGGATTTCAGTATTTCCAATGGGGAGGAGTTGGGGGGGGGGGGGGGGGGGGGAGAAGAACTTTCTTTATTCATTTGTCCTCCTAATTAGGGGTGGAATTAAAAGGAGTTGATTTCGATGGCTCTCTCCTTCTCTTTCTCCCCGTTTTGGGCTGTTTCGTCCCTCCTCTCCTCCCCTCTCCTTCCATCCCATCATATTCTCATTCCTATTCCTATCCCTGTTCCCACTTCTATCCTCATCCCACCCCATCCCATCCCATCCCATCCCATCCCATCCCATCCCACCCATCCCACCCATCCCATCCCATCCCATCCCATCCCTTCCCATCCCACCCCACCCCATCCCACCCCATCCCATCCCATCCCTTCCCATCCCATCCCACCCCATCCCACCCCATCCCATCCCATCCCATCCCATCCCATCCCACCCCATCCCACCCCTTCCCATCCCATCCCACCCCATCCCATCCCATCCCATCCCATCCCACCCCATCCCATCCCATCCCATCCCACCCCATCCCACCCCATCCCATCCCATCCCTTCCCATCCCACCCCACCCCATCCCACCCCTTCCCATCCCATCCCATCCCACCCCATCCCATCCCATCCCATCCCACCCCATCCCTTCCCATCCCACCCCATCCCACCCCATCCCATCCCATCCCATCCCATTCTCACCCTACCCCTATCCCTATCCCTTCCCCTATCCCTATCCCTTCCCCTATCCCTATCCCTATCCCTATCCCTATCCCTATCCCTATCCCTATCCCTATCCCTATCCCTATCCCTATCCCTATCCCTACCCCTACCCCTACCCCTACCCCTATCCCTATCCCTATCCCTATCCCTATCCCTATCCCTATCCCTATCCCTACCCCTTCCCCTACCCCTATCCCTATCCCTATCCCTATCCCTATCCCTATCCCTATCCCTATCCCTATCCCTATCCCTATCCCTATCCCTATCCCTATCCCTATCCCTATCCCTATCCCTCTCCCATCCCATCTCATCCCTATTTCCACCCCATCCCACCCCATCCCCACCCCATCTCCATCCCCCTCCTCATTCCCATTCCCATGTGGTTGATCATTGGTGGCTGTGGTTGAGTGCTGGTGGCTGTAGCTGTGTGTTGGTGGCTGTGGTTGCGCACCAATGGCTGCAGTTGAGTGTTGACGGCTGTAGTTGTGCATTGGTGGCTGTGGCTGTGCACTGGTGGCTGTGGTTGTGTGTTGGTGGCAGTGGTTGCACACCAGTGGCTGTAGTTGAGTTTTGGTGGCTGTGGTTGAGTGTTGGTGGCTGTAGTTGAGTGTTGATGGCTGTAGCTGTGCACTGATGGCTGTGGTTGAGTGTTGGTGGCTGTAGCTGTGCACTGATGGCTATGGTTGAGTGTTGATGGCTGTAGTTGTGCACTGGTGGCTGTAGCTGAGTGTTGATGGCTGAAGTGATGCACTGATGGCTATGGTTGAGTTTTGGTGGCTGTAGCTGTGCATTGGTGGCTGTGGTTGAGTGTTGGTGGCTGTAGTTGAGTTTTGGTGGCTATAGCTGTGCACTGGTGGCTGTGGTTGTGTGTTGATGGCTGTAGTTGTGCACTGATGGCTGTGGCTGTGTGCTGGTGGCTTTGGTTGAGTGTTGGTGGCTGTAGCTGAGTGTTGATGGCTGAAGTGGTGCACTGGTGGCTGTGGTTGTGTGTTGATGGCTGTAGTTGAGTGTTGGTGGCTGTAGTTGTGCACTGGTGGCTGTGGTTGAGTGTTGATGGCTGTAGTTGAGTGTTGGTGGCTGTAGTTGTGCACTGATGGCTGTAGTTGTGCATTGTTGGCTGTGGCTGTGTGCTGGTGACTGTGGTTGAGTTTTGGTGGCTGTAGCTGAATGTTGGTGGCTGAAGTGATGCACTGATGGCTGTAGTTGAGTGCTGATGGCTGTAGTTGTGCACTGATGGCTGTGGTTGAGTGTTGATGGCTGTAGCTGTGCACTGGTGGCCCAGCATCGCTCTGTAACCCCCAGTGCTCAGCCCTGCACACCTCCTCACTCCCCTCCCCTTCCCCACCGCCCCCCCCCTCTTCCCCCCATCCACCCCCCCTGCCTGCACCGCATCTCTTTTTCCTCCCCTTCCCCCCTCCCCCCCCCAACTCCCCCCCCCCAAAAAAAAAACCAACCCGCCAAATTTTAATTAAATAATCCTAATGAATCTTTAATGACCGCCCCTTTGTCATTATTAAATCCGCAATAACGAAGCCGCTCTCTCCACCCCCCCTCCCCATCCCCAACCCCCCCCAGCCCCCCTTTCCCCACAAGCCCCCCCCCCAGGCTCTGAGCCCCCCCTTCTGCCTCTCCATCGAGCCCCAAGAACAGGAAATGAGAAACGGAGGAGGCGGATATTGAGGGGTGTGAGGGGCGATGCTATCGGGTCACAGCGCAGCCCGGAGCTTCTGCACCTCCAGATCGATAGGAATTGATAAGAGATGGGAAAAAGAGAAGGGGGGGGGGAGGGAGGGGGGGGAGGGGGGAGAGCTTTGGGGCTGGGGGGGGGATGGGAGGGGGAGGGCGAAGGGTCAGCGTGGAACTGAGGGATGTTGGCTGGCGGCTTGGAGGTGCAGAGCATTGGGGGGGGGGGGGGGGGTTGGAGCGTAGGGAGGAGAAAGAGAGAAGCTGAGGGGGTGCAGAGCTTGCAGTGATCCCCTCTTGCATTTTGCATCAGGCCCTGCCCTCCTTTTGCATTTTGAAACTTGCAGTTGCATCAAATCCTGCTCTCCTTTTGCATCTTGCACTTTGCATCAGGTCTTGCTCTCCTTTTGCATCTTGCACTTTGCATCAGGTCCTGCTCTCCTTTTGCATCTTGCACTTTGCATCAGGTCCTGCCCTCCTTTTGCATCTTGCACTTTGCATCAGGTCCTGCTCTCCTTTTGCATCTTGCACTTTGCATCAGGTCCTGCCCTTCTTTTGCATCTTGCACTTTGCATCAGGTCCTGCTCTCCTTTTGCATCTTGCACTTTGCATCAGGTCCTGCTCTCCTTTTGCATCTTGCATTTGCATCAGGTCCTGCCCTCCTTCTGCATCTTGCAGTTGCATCAGGTCCTGCTCATCTTCGCGTTCTGCACGAGCACCAGGCTGTGCTCACTTTTCCCCTTTGCATTTCGCAGTTGCATCAGGCTTTGCTCACCATTTGCATTTTGCAATGGCACCAAACTTTGCTCAGCTTTTGCTTTCTGCAGTAGCTCCAAACTTTTCTCACCCTTTGCATTCTGCACTTTGCAATGCCACCAAACTTTGCTCACTTCTTGCATTTTGCACCCTGCACTTTGCAGTAGCAAACTTTGCTCACTTTTTGCTTCCTGCAATAGCACCAAACTTTGCTCACTTTGCAGTAGCACCAAACTTTGCTCACTTTCTGCTTCCTGCAATGGCACCAAACTTTGCTCACCCTTTGCATTTTGCATCCTGCACTTTGCAGTAGCACCAAACTTTTCTCACCCTTTGCTTTCTGCACTTTGCAATGGCACCAAACTTTGCTCACTTCTTGCATTTTGCACCCTGCACTTTGCAATGGCACCAAACTTTGCTCACTTCTTGCATTTTGCACCCTGCATTTTGCAATGGCACCAAACTTTGCTCACTTCTTGCATTTTGCACCCTGCACTTTGCAGCAGCACCAGGCCTTGCTCACCTTTTTGCACCTCGCAGCCTCTTTGCCCCCCAGAAACGCAAATAAAGAAACCAAAGGGCCGCTTTGCAGATGCTTTGCCCCATAGGACGGGAAGAGAAAAGCATTTGCAGGAGGGCTGAGATGCAAAGAAAGCAAACTTCTCCCCCCCCCCCTCCCTCTTCTTCCCCCGTTGCATTTCCCCCTTTGCTCATTGCAGCCAGGCAATGAAAGAGGAAAAAAAGGGGGGTGGGATTGCAAAAAAGAGATAAAAAATGTTTAAAAAAAAGCTTTTTTTTTTTTGCTTTTTTTTTTCTCTTTTTTTTTTTTGGCCGCGTTGTTGTTAGCATTCAGCAGCGCCGTGACGGGCGGCCCTGGGAATGCCGGGAGATTTTAATAAAGAAGACACAGAGCTGGGAAATTTAATAAAGGAGTTCATCAGATTACAGAGCGCGGCGATGGGCGCCGTGCCACCGCCTGGCAGCAATATCCGTGCTGGGGGGGGGGGGAAATGGGGGGGGGTTGTGGGGAGGGGGGCTTTAACCCCTCGGGGGATGGAGCGGCAGCGCCCGTGTTCCGCTTATCAGCTCGGCTGCCGTGAATATGGACGGATCTCTTTGGTTTTGGGGAGAGCTGAGGGGCTGTTGGGGTGGGTTTGGGGATTTTTGGAGAGGGGGGGATTGGGGGGGGGGTCGTTTTGGGGGTGGTTTTGGGTTTGGTTTGAGGATTCGGAGCTCGTGGTGCTGAGTGCCGCCGTTGGGTTGGGGCCAGCGCTGCATGATGCGTCTGTGTAGAGTCGTGGGGTTGTTGGAGGTGGGAATGAAGGCCGAGGTCGTGAGTCTGACCCCCAAATCATCCCCACCATAGAGCCACTAAGATGGGAAATGACCACGGAGGTCATCCTACCCCCATCCCATCCCCATTACAGAGACTTAAGGCTGGAAGGGACCACTGTGGTCATCCAACCCCATCTTGTCCCCACCATGGAACCATTTAAGGTAGGAAATGGCCACAGAGGTCATCGCTCCAACCCTCGGCTCTCTTTCCTTTTGGGTTCTGTTCCGGCGTTGTTGGGTTGGGTTTTTGGGGGCAGTTTTGGGTTTGGTTTGAGGATTCGGAGCTCGTGGTGCTGAGTGCCGCCGTTGGGTTGGGGCCAGCGCTGCATGATGCGTCTGTGTAGAGTCGTGGGGTCGTTGGAGGTGGGAATGAAGGCTGAGGTCGTGAGTCCGACCCCCAAATCATCCCTACTGTAGAGCCACTAAGATGGGAGATGACAGAGGTCATCCTACCCCCATCCCATCTCCATTACAGAGACTTAAGGCTGGAAGGGACCACTGTGGTCATCCAAATTCCATCGCATCCCCACCATAGAGCCACTAAGGTGGGAAATGGCCACAGAGGTCATCGCTGCAACCCTTGGCTCTCTTTGGTTTTGGGTTCCGGCGTTGTTGGGTTGAGTTTTTGGGGTTGGTTTTGGGTTTGGTTTGAAGATTCAGAGCTTGTGATGCTGAGTGCAGCCGTTGGGTTGGGGCCAGCGCTGCATGATGCGTCTGTGTAGAGTCGTGGGGTCGTTGGAGGTGGGAATGACCTCATCCAGCCCCCAAATCATCCCCACCATAGAGCCACTAAGATGGGAAATGACCACGGAGGTCATCCTACCCCCATCCCATCCCCATTATAGAGCCTTAAGACTGGAAGGGACCACTGTGGTCATCCAACTTCCATCGCATCCCCACCATAGAGCCACTAAGGTGGGAAATGGCCACAGAGGTCATCGCTCCAACCCTCGGCTCTCTTTCCTTTTGGGTTCTGTTCCGGCGTTGTTGGGTTGGGTTTTTGGGGTTGGTTTTGGGTTTGGTTTGAGGATTCGGAGCTCGTGGTGCTGAGTGCCGCCGTTGGGTTGGGGCCAGCGCTGCATGATGCGTCTGTGTAGAGTCGTGGGGTCGTTGGAGGTGGGAATGAAGGCCGAGGTCGTGAGTCTGACCCCCAAATCATCCCCACCATAGAGCCACTAAGATGGGAGATGACAGAGGTCATCCTACCCCCATCCCATCTCCATTACAGAGCCATTAAGACTGGAAGGGACCACTGTGGTCATCCAAATTCCATCGCATCCCCACCATAGAGCCACTAAGGTGGGAAATGGCCACAGAGGTCATCGCTGCAACCCTTTGCTCTCTTTGGTTTTGGGTTCTGTTCCGGCATTGTTGGGTTGGGTTTTTGGGGGCGGTTTTGGGTTTGGTTTGAGAATTCGGAGCTCGTGGTGCTGAGTGCCGCCGTTGGGTTGGGGCCAGCGCTGCATGATGCGTCTGTGTAGAGTCGTGGGGTCGTTGGAGGTGGGAATGAAGGCTGAGTCGGGAGTCTGACCCCCAAATCATCCCCACACAGAACTGTTGAGGTTGGAAAGACCTCTGTGGTCATCCAGCCCCCAAATCATCCCCACCGTAGAGCCACTAAGATGGGAAATGACCACGGAGGTCATCCAACCCCCATCCCGTCCCCATTATAGAGCCATTAAGGCTGGAAGGGACCACTGTGGTCATCCAACCCCCATCCCGTCCCCATTATAGAGCCATTAAGGCTGGAAGGGCCCACTGTGGTCATCCAACCCCATCCCGTCCCCATTATAGAGCCATTAAGGCTGGAAGGGCCCACTGTGGTCATCCAACCCCATCCCGTCCCCATTATAGAGCCATTAAGGCTGGAAGGGACCACTGTGGTCATCCAACCCCAACTCATTTGCACCACAGACCCATCAAAACTGGAAAGGCCACTGTAGGGTCACCCCGTTGCCCTCAGCCCATCAATCCCACTCCAGGTCCTTCCATAGGGTCGCACCATTGGCCTCAACCCATTCACCCCTGTCCAGATCCCTCTGCAGGGTCACAACCTATCAATCTCTCTCCAGATCTCTCTGTAGGAGCTCATCAGTTCCTCTCCAGATCCCTCCGTAGGATCTCAGCCCGTTGATCTCTCTCCAGATCCCTCTGTAAGGCCACACCGTTGGCCTCAGCCCACTCATCCCTTTCCAGATCTCTCTATAGGGTCGCACCACTGGTCTCAACCTCTCCAGATCCCTCTGTAGGGTCTCAGCCCATCTTTCCCACCTCTCCAGATCACCTCTTCTTTTTAATTTACTTTTCCACTCCTCTGCATGCAGCAGTTTGCTTCTGAGGTGCGTTTGCTTCGTTTCGCCTTCCCTTGGAGGAGGTTGGAGTGCATTCTGCACCAAAAAAAATGCCTTTTATTTTGAGAGGAAATCTGCTCTTTTCGGAGCTTCAGAAGGAGCCGAGGGCACAGCTATCATCGTCCCCCAATATTCTCCCATTCCTGATCCCCCCCCCAAAAAAAGAAGCCAGAAATTCAGTGGAAGGAAAATTTCTCACCCTGCGCTGCGCTGTATGAACGAATGGGGGGGGGGAAGGGATGGCTGATGCTGCAGGGAATCAAAGACCACTTTGTGCTGCTTTCCCCTGCCCCGAGCCCCCCACCCTGACGTCTGGACGGGGGGGTTTTGCCACCTCCTCTTCAATATTTCACCCAGCCACCCTGGATTCTGCAGCTCAGCCTTAAGCAAACAGCCCTCCCTTAAGCTGGGACCGCTTCATTTTGACTAAACCCTGACCAAATAAGCTGGTTGCACAAAGCAAAGCAACCCCCTTTCCTTCACCCTCCTCCTCTCCCCCCCCAGCTTATTCCTCGCTTCATTAACACCTTTTAATCCCATCCATGCCATCCAAATTGCCTTTCCCTGGGTCAGGGTCTCCTGCGCTGTAATGGGGACGATCAGCACAGGGTGAGGAGGGGGGAACAAGACAAAATCTGCTCCGTGCAGCCCAGGAAAGATCTGAAAAGAAGTGAAAAAGACCCTGGAGCCGTTCCCCAAGCGCCCAGCCGTTGGTGTCAGAAAATAGAAAGGGAAAGGTTGGGTTTTGGGGGGGATATTTTTTGAGGGTTTTGTTTTTTTTCTGCGGGTTTTGCTTCCTTGCTGCTCTTTGCAGTCCCCCCAAATATCCCCATTTTGCACCCATAGGAGCTTTCCTTCTGGCACTTCTTTCTCCCATCCAGGAGAGCCTTTCTTGAGCAAGCAAACCCAATTCTGTAAGGTGCAGAAAGGGATTCCTTGGGGCTGATGCGTCTGCGGCCGGCTGCCGAGCATCTTCTGAGATAAAAGTCGAGATCTCCCAAAGGGAAACCTTAATAATGAGGAAATAAGGCTGGGCAGGGGGTGGGAGTGGGGAGACCCACTCAAAAAAGTGTCATTTTAGGGCTAAAAGAAAGTAAAAATGAAACAAATAGGAGGTGATAGGATCCCCAAAAAAATGATGGGACGCGATCTCCTTTCTGTCAGCGCATCCCAGCTCCTAAATGTAGTTGGTCTTTTTTTTTTGCCCCTCATAAAATGGGGATTCTGCCCCATTTTCGGGCCGTCCATCCCTGCTAGCAGCACTCCCAGCCCGTTCAGAACCCGCTGCCGCCGCCGGAGACGTGTTTTGTTCCTATGGCAACCCAAACAATATTACCTCGACTTAAACGGATTCAGGCAATATTAAAACCGACCTCTTTAGGAATTCCCGGTGTTGGAGGGGGCCGAGAATTTTAATTTCGCGTAATGCGAGCTGACACCGTGTTTATGAGCTGCTTGCTGGGTGTTTTCTTCAATTAGCACAAAGCAGAGAGGATTTGCTTTCGGGGCTTCGCGGGGAGACAGAGAGCCCAACCACCATTGAGTTGCACCACAGCAGCGCTTCTCACACCGGATAACGGCAAAAAAACCCAACAAAAACACCAACAAACCACCCAAAACACAACTCCTCTCGGTGGAAATTCAGCCCACGGCCCACCTTCGCATGAGGGTTGATCATAGAATCATAGAATCATAGAATCCCCAAGGTTGGAACAGACCTCAAAGCTCCCCCAGTCCAACCGTTCACCTCTTAGCAACAGCTCCCACTGAACCACGTCCCTCAGCACAACATGGGGCTGCCATAGGGACACAGGGGGAGCCATAGGGACACATGGGGACTCCATAGGGAAACATGGGGAGCCATAGGGAAACATGGGGACTCCATAGGGACACATGAGGATGCCATAGGGACACATGGGGACTCCATAGGGACACATGAGGATGCCATAGGGACACATAGAATCATAGCATCACCAAGGTTGGAAAAGACCTCAAAGCTCCCCCAGTCCAACCATTCCCCCATTCCCAACAGCTCCCACTGAACCACGTCCCTCAGCACAACATCCAGCCTTTCCTTCAACACCCCCAGGCTCGGTGCCTCCTCCACCTCCCTGTGCATCCATTCCAGTGCCTGACCACCCTTTCTGAACAGCAATTCTTCCTCATGTCCAGCCTGAATCTCCCCTGCCGTAGCTTGAAGCCGTTCCCTCTGCTCCTATCCCTGATGGCACGAGAGCAGAGGCCGACCCCCAGCTCCCTGCAGCCTCCCTTCAGGCAGCCATAGAGAGCAGTGAGGTCTCCCCTGAGCTCCTCTTCTCCATGCTGAACATTCCCAGCTCCTTCAGCCTCTCCTCACCAGCCCTGTGCTCCAGACCCCTCACCATTTCATTGCCCTCCTTTGAACACGTTCCAGGGCCTCAATATCTGTCTTGCAGTGAGGGGCCCAAAACTGGACACAGTAAGTGCTAAGTGATGCTAAGTGGTCTCCCAAGAGCAGAGGGAGGAATGGGAGCCGTCGCTTAGGAGGTAACGCGTCTCCAGATCTCTGCTCTGAAACCTCGTCCCCACGGCCGTGTTTTCCCCTCTCTTTTCTTGGTGTCATTTCTTGGTGTTTTTGGCCGAGGTTGGAAAGTGTTTTCGTGCCAATCGTGGAGCTCTCTGTCAGCGCCTCGCCCAGCTCTCCTTGCTTGGAGGTTGGTCGATGCGTTTGAAGGTAACGCTCATCCTTCTGTTCGCCATCCGAACGCCCCTCTCTCTGGATTTGAGCTCCTGGGGCTGAATCTGGGCAAATTCCAGTGGAAAAGCTCTAAAAACACAGTTTGAGCAGCATGGGGTCAAAGTCAGACTGCATCTGTCGACAGATTCAGCTGTGTATGGACAGGCAAGGCTGTGGGGACAGCAATGCTCCCACATGAGATGGGTCCTTAAGGGCCACAGAACCAAGGAAGGGGTTGGGTTGGATCATTGATCCAACTGATCACTGAAGCACAGAGTAGGTTGGAAGGGTCCTTAAAGGTCACAGAACTCCTTAAGGGCTTCGGTTGTAAGAGTCCTCATAGATCATAGAAGCACCAAGTGGGTTGGAAAGGTCCTTAAAGATGATCGAACCACGTAACCGGTCGGGTTGGGAGGGTCCTCAAGGTCATAGAAGCATAGGATGGCTTGGAAAGGTCCTTAAAGATGATAGAGCCATCGAAGGAGGACACGATGGCTTGATGGTGATAAGGGGAAAGCGGCTCTGGTGCTGCACTTGAGGAGAATGGGGCAGCTCAAAGGGAGTCCTGGGGTGCACCAGGACCAAATGCTCAAAACCGGCACCAAAAAGGGATTGGAATCACAGAATCAAACACAGAACCACAGAATGGGGTTGGAAGGGACCAGAGAGATCATGGAATTATAGAGCCATGGGGTTGGGTTGGAACAGAGCTTCAGGATCATAGAACTGTGGAGTGGGTTGGGGTGGAAGGGCCCTCAAAGATCATAGAAGCACAGAGTGATTGGGGTTGGAAAGGTCCTCAAAGATCATAGGAAGCACAGATTGGGTTGGAAGGGTCCTCAAAGATCATAGAAGCACAGAGTGGGGTTGGAAAGGTCCTCAAAGATCATAGAAGCACAGAGTGGGGTTGGAAAGGTCCTCAAAGATCATAGAAGCACAGATTGGGTTGGAAAGGTCCTCAAAGATCATAGAAGCACAGAGTGATTGGGGTTGGAAAGGTCCTCAAAGATCATAGAAGCACAGAGTGGGGTTGGAAAGGTCCTCAAAGATCATAGAAGCACAGATTGGGTTGGAAAGGTCCTCAAAGATCATAGAAGCACAGAGTGGGGTTGGAAAGGTCCTCAAAGGTCATAGAAGCACAGAGTGATCGGGGTTGGAAAGGTCCTCAAAGATCATAGAAGCACAGAGTGGGGTTGGAAAGGTCCTCAAAGATCATAGAAGCACAGAGTGATTGGGGTTGGAAGGGTCCTCAAAGATCATAGAAGCACAGAGTGATTGGGGTTGGAAGGGTTCTCAAAGATCATAGAAGCATAGAATGATTGGGGTTGGAAGGGTCCTCAAAGATCATAGAAGCACAGAGTGGGGTTGGAAAGGTCCTCAAAGATCATAGAAGCACAGAGTGGGGTTGGAAAGGTCCTCAAAGATCATAGAAGCACAGAGTGGGGTTGGAAAGGTCCTCAAAGATCATAGAAGCACAGAGTGATTGGGGTTGGAAAGGTCCTCAAAGATCATAGAAGCACAGAGTGATTGGGGTTGGAAGGGTTCTCAAAGATCATAGAAGCATAGAATGATTGGGGTTGGAAAGGTCCTCAAAGATCATAGAAGCACAGAGTGATTGGGGTTGGAAGGGTCCTCAAAGATCATAGAAGCACAGAGTGGGGTTGGAAAGGTCCTCAAAGATCATAGAAGCACAGAGTGGGGTTGGAAAGGTCCTCAAAGATCATAGAAGCACAGAGTGGGGTTGGAAAGGTCCTCAAAGATCATAGAAGCACAGAGTGATTGGGGTTGGAAAGGTCCTCAAAGATCATAGGAAGCACAGATTGGGTTGGAAGGGTCCTCAAAGATCATAGAAGCACAGAGTGATTGGGGTTGGAAAGGTCCTCAAAGATCATAGAAGCACAGAGTGATTGGGGTTGGAAAGGTCCTCAAAGATCATAGAAGCACAGAGTGATTGGGGTTGGAAAGGTCCTCAAAGATCATAGAAGCACAGAGTGATTGGGGTTGGAAAGGTCCTCAAAGATCATAGAAGCACAGATTGGGTTGGAAGGGTCCTCAAAGATCATAGAAGCACAGAGTGGGGTTGGAAAGGTCCTCAAAGATCATAGGAAGCACAGATTGGGTTGGAAGGGTCCTCAAAGATCATAGAAGCACAGAGTGATTGGGGTTGGAAAGGTCCTCAAAGATCATAGGAAGCACAGATTGGGTTGGAAGGGTCCTCAAAGATCATAGAAGCACAGATTGGGTTGGAAAGATCCTTCAAGACCGTAGAACCGTGGGATTGGGGTTGGAAGGGATCACAGATCACCCATCCAAACCCCAGGCTGAGCAGCGCTGCGCTCACACCCCACACCACGAGGTCGTTCCGCTCCAGCTGGGCTTGAATTCGAGCAGCATTCATGACCCAACGCTTGGTAGCATTTCACACCTGTCAAAAAATTCCACGCGAACGCGTCGGCCCTCTTTCATTGTTGGGCCGTGGTTGTGGGGAGCTTTTGTTGTTGTTGTTGTTATTATTTTTACTATTTCACTGAAGCAGCAGGATGTTGGACGTTGGGAAGGGGACGGATTTGGCCTCAGCTCAGGTTTTGTGCCTGCAGCACCCTCCCGTATCGCCCTTCTTCCACCAGCAGAAGCTGACAGCTAAAGGGCTGCTCGCCGCTCCCGGCCTCTCCATCATTGTTTTTGTTTTTCAAGTGCGAATTACAGGAAAAAAGACAAAGAGAAAAAGGGAGAGACGCTGGCAAAGGCACACAAAAGGAGAGAGAGAAATCCCACCCCGTTCTGCTCGTCCCACACACCGCAGCCGAAAGCCACCGCGCAGCACAAATCCACGGTGGTATTTGGAAGGGATGAGCCCACCCCTGTAAGCCCCTTCATCCCGCTCCGCTGAGTTTGCCAGGAGGATTAACCCAGTCTTGTTCTCAATCCCAGTTTATGAGTTCCCTGCTGGTGGGGAAGATCCTGTGTGTTTAAACAACAGCCTAATTAATCCCTATTTTATTACTTTCCCTTGTCAAGTGGCTAAATGGGAGCTGTCAGCCGGCAGCCACCGCCGCTCGCATTTGTTTAGATCCCAAATTACTTCATCAGAACCATCTGCTCCGCACGCAGGGCACTTGGTGGTTGTTTGTTTCTCTCTCTGGACACAGTGAGGGGCACAAACAGCGTCTGGGAGAGGGGGGACGGTCCTGGAGGGGTCCGCAGAGGAAATCCTGAGCATGGAAAATCCAGGCACTGAGCAATGGAAAGGAAAAGAGGACCCCAAAATCACTTTTCTTGCTGGGGATGTGTGGGTGCAGCTCCATGCGTCCCCCTCCTTCCTCCCTTGGCTTCCTGAGCCCCTTAAATCGGGTGTTTTCTCTCTAAAAAGAGGGGGGGGGGGGACGACTCACTGCAGTGTCCCAGCACTGAAAGGTGTTTACAAAGCAGACAGAGGCTCGAGGAGATGGGGGGCAGAGGCTACGAGCTGCTCGTTCCATGCTTATAACACTAACCCCATGGTTCTGTGATCTGTAAGGACCCATCCAACCCAACCCCACCCCATGGTTCTGTGATCTGTAAGGACCCACTCAACCCAATCCCATCTCATGGTTCTGTGATCTGTAAGGACCCATCCAATCCAATCCCATCCCATGGTTCTATGACGTTTAAGGACCCACTCAACCCAATCCCACCCCACAGTTCTATAACCTTTAAGGACCTTTCCAACCCAATCCCATCCCATGGTTCTGTGATCTGTAAGGACCCACTCAACCCAATCCCATCCCATGATTCTGTGATCTGCAAGGACCCATCCAACCCAATCCCATCCCATGCTTCTGTGATCTGTAAGGACCCACTCAACCCAATCCCACCCCACAGTTCTATAACCTTTAAGGACCTTTCCAACCCAGCTTCATCTCAAGACAAGAAATCAATGTCTGGCCCTGGGAACAACCAACCCCTGGCACAACTTCCCAGGGAGGGCAGAATCCCCATCGCTGGAGGAACCTCAAGGAAATTGGAAAGGGCAAAAATCTCCTCCAATCCCCCGCCGCCGATTTACTGCCCGTCTGCCTGTCGCAGTAACGCTCCTTACTGCGCTACGGGAAAGGAAACATGAAATTCGATGCTGTTTCCCTGGCAAATCCTATCGGTGGGGGGAAAATCCTGATCTGAAAGGGCCGGACGGGGGAATCCTTGAGCTATTGGTGCGGCACGCGTTAATTACTGACGGCGCTTTTTTGCATGAAGTCTGCCTTGGTGTGACAGCTCCAACCCAATCTGTTCCCCAATTCTCCCCTTCCCCGAGCTCCTGACCCCAGGTTTTGCTTTGCAGGCTCTTCCAGACCAAGTGCAGCAGCTGCCTGAAGGCCATCGCTCCCTCCGAGCTCATCATGCGGGTGCTGGAGAACGTCTACCACGTCCACTGCTTCTATTGCTGCGAGTGTGAGCGGCGTCTGCAGCGGGGAGACGAGTTTGTGCTCAAGGAAGGGCAGCTGCTGTGCCGCAGCGACTACGAGAAGGAGAAGGAGATGCTGAGTGCCATCAGCCCCACGCCAACCGAGTCCGGTGAGGAGCTGGAGAGGCGGAGAATGAGGCCGGTGGGGTGGGATTAATGGTTGTGGTGGGATTCGGGCAGCCTGCCCACAGCAAGGATGGGGTTGGGGGGGCTTTTGGGTCCCTTCTAACCCAACCATGCTGTGGTTCCATGATGTGTAAGGTTCCATTCAAACGCAACCCATTCCATGGTTCAATTATCTTTAAGGACCTTTCCAAGCCAACACGTTCTATGATTCTACGGTCTTTGAGGACCCTTCCAACCCAACCCAACCCAACCCAACCCAACCCAAACATTCCATCACTCCATGATCTTTGAGGTCCCATCCAAACCAACCGATTCCATGGTTCAATTACTTTTAAGGACCCTTCCAACCCAACCCAACCCAATCCAACCCTTTCCAAGCCAACACGTTCTATGATTCTACGGTCTTTGAGGACCCTTCCAACCCAACCCAACCCAACCCAACCCAACCCAACCATCATTCCATGATCTTTGAGGTCCCATCCAATCACTTTTAAAGACCCTTCCAACCCTAACCATTCTATGACTCTGTGGTCTTTGAGAACCCTTCCAACCCAACCCAATAATTCCACCATTCTCTGATCTTCAAGGTCTCTTTAAATCCAACCATTCCATGGTTCCATGACCTTTGAGGTCCCATCCAACCCAACCATTCCATGGTTCCACGACCTTTGAGGTCCCAACCATTCCATGGTTCCATGACCTTTCAGGTCCCATCAACCCAACCATTCCATGGTTCCATGACCTTTGAGGTCCCATCCATTCCATGGTTTTATGACCTTTAAGGACCCTTCCATCCCACCCATCCAACCACTCCATGGCTCTGTGACCGTCCCACTTTGGCCACAGCTCAGCCCATGAGCTCCGCTGCCCTCATTCCGTTCTTCTGGTCAAAACTGCACACTGAGAGGATCAAAACTCAGCATTCCGTTGCGCTTTCGCCCCGAAATTCACCTCTCCCCATCTTCCCCTGCAGTGAAAAGCGAGGATGAGGATGGCAGCCACTCGCACGGCAAAGGCAGCGAGGACAGCAAAGACCACAAACGCTCCAAGCGCCCGCGCACCATCCTCACCACGCAGCAGAGGAGGGCGTTCAAGGCTTCCTTTGAGGTCTCCTCCAAACCCTGCAGGAAGGTACAGCGGGGCAGCCCAGTGGGCACGGAGTCTGCCCGTGTTGGGCACGAGTTGGGGCCTCGTTTGTTTCTGAACTCAGCTCTCCTCTTCGTTTATGCTTGATAGGTGAGGGAGACCCTGGCGGCGGAGACGGGGCTGACGGTGCGGGTGGTGCAGGTGTGGTTCCAGAACCAAAGAGCAAAGGTGGGTGAGGGGAAAGTCCCACATTCGTTCGGCTGCAAGAAAACAAGAGAGAAAAAAAAGGAAAGAAAAAAAACCCCTGTTCCGTGGGATCAAACCACACGTGGTGGGGTAGCGTTGGATGCGCTGGAAGCAAAAGCTTGGAGAGGAACACAGGAAACGCAGAGGTGTTTGCAGAGCTGAAATGTTTTCATTTTTGTTGCCTTTTTTTAATGGCTCTTTTTGCGTTTCCCCCTCTCCGTGCGTGATGAGGAAGAGGAGGAGGATTTGCCACTTTTTTTTCCCTAGAACCCTTTCATGTTGCAGAATGCAAAGGGTGAGGGCAGAAACGAAGCCCTCAAACGCCTCAGATGGCATTTCCTAACAGAAATGTGCGGCCCTTTCCTGGCGGCCCCATTGCTCGCACCTTGCATGGGGTGAGGAGGAGGGGTGTGAGAGGGGATGCATGACGGCAATCCTCGATGCCTATGAAAAGTGGGAGGCACCCGCATCCCCTCCTGCCTCAGAACCTCAGGTTTGGGGTCTCCTTCTTCCTGCAGATGAAGAAGATTGCACGCAGGCAGCAGCAGCAGCAGCAGCAGCAGGAGCAGGAGCAGATGGGCAATCCTCGCCTGGGGTCCGGGAGGGGGACCGGGCGCAGCAGCAGGCAGAGCAACGATGACAGCGAAGGTGAGGAGCACTGAGCACTGATGGGGGGGGGGGGCTGCATAGGGGCTATCGAGGCCAAAAGCCTCAAAATCAGCCAAAATCTGCAATTTTAGGATTCCGGGATTCCACCATATTCTGTGGTTCCGGGATTCGAGCGTTCTGTGATTCTATGGCATTTTAGGGTTTTGTTATTCTAGGATTCTGGAGTTCCAGGATTCTAGGATACGATGGTACCCAATGATTCCAGGATTCATCAGATCTTGGATTCTGTCATTCTGTGATGTCCAGATTCTATGATATTCTATGACTCCAGGGTTCTGCGATTCCAGGATTCTGGAATTCGATGACACTAGGATTCCAGGATTCCACGATTCTATGATTCCATGATTCCATGATTCTATGATTCTATGATTCTACGCTTGTAGGATTTCCACGATTCTATAATTTTCTGATATCTCCTGACTCTAGAATTGTGTGATTTTAAGGTTCTGTGATGATTCCAGGATTCTATGATGCTCTACAACTCCACGACAGTCTGTGACACGTAGGGTTCTGTGATTCTTGGATGCCACGGTCCTACAATTCAATGATATCCGATGACTCCAAAATTCTGTGATTGTAGGATTCAGGAATTAGATGATAGGATTCTAACACCTTCACCCCACTGCTCTGCGCCCCTTCTCCCCCTCCGTCCCACGCTTCTGTCTTTAGATGGTGCAAGCGTCCACGGCCTGGATGGGCTGATGGTCCCATATCCCCGGCTCCCCCAGCAGCAGCTGCTGCCCCTGGACCAGAATGGCTACAGCACGGACCTCTACAGGCAGGGCCTCACCCCACCACAGCTGCCCGGAGACCACCTGCACCCCTACGGTAGGAGAGCAACTCCCAACCCACCAAAGCCATCCCACCCACCAAGGCCATCCAACCCACCAAGGCCATCCAACCCACCAAGGCCATCCAACCCACCAACGCCATCCAACCCACCAACGCCATCCCACCCACCAACGCCATCCAACCCACCAAAGCCATCCCACCCACCAAGGCCATCCAACCCACCAAAGCCATCCAACCCACCAAAGCCATCCAACCCACCAAGGCCATCCAACCCACCAAAGCCATCCCACCCACCAAGACCGTCCAACCCACCAACGCCATCCCACCCACCAACGCCATCCAACCCACCAAAGCCATCCAAGCCACCAAGGCCATCCAACCCACCAAGGCCATCCCACCCACCAAAGCCATCCAACCCACTAAGGCCATCCAACCCACCAACGCCATCCCACCCACCCAGGCCATCCAACCCACCAAAGCCATCCCACCCACCAAAGCCATCGTTGGGTTCCATCCAAACAGACAGTAGGGGTTGGGTTTGAGTCCCAGGGGATGGACACAGCCTCCAGGCTGAGCCCTGCTAAAGGCTGGGGTCCTGTGAAAGGTGAGTTGAGGTGAGGCTTGTGAAATCCATCCTTGGGTTCCACCTAAACGGCCAATAGGAGTTGGGGGCTCCTGCTCCTGTTGGGTGGCTCCGACTCACGGTGGGCGACTCCAGGCCCCGCTGCAGCGACACGGCAGCTCGTCGTGCTCGTGCCGCACGGACGCCCATTCTTCTTTCTTTCTTCTTCCAGATTCAGAAGGAGTTTTCCATGACATGGACAGCGAGAGCATCAGCCACCTGGGGGACTGCCTGCTGTCGACGGCCGAAGCCAACCTCCTGCAAGCCCGCGTGGGCAACCCCATCGACCGACTGTACTCCATGCAGAGCTCCTACTTCACCTCCTGACCTTCAAACAGCTCTCCACCAGGACCCACCAGGACCCACCAGTATCTCGGACGGGTGCTGCTCTGGGTTCGGACACGAGACATTCCTTGAGTGCTGCACAACGGAGGAGGCGGCGGATCCGGCCCACGCAGAAGCGCTATTCTGCAACCCGAAGGACTCGGGGTTGCCTCTCTCCTTACTTTCTATCCTCAATGGACGGTATGATGTTGTTTAGCTGTTCCTTTAGCAGTTTGTCCCGTGTTTGAGCATGACGTCCTTCCGACACAGACTGGCCAAGCCGAGCGGAGCGGCCCCAAGCAGCAGCGCAGGCTTCTTCCTCTTGTTTATTCAATCCCTGCTGCGCTGGTTTGCCTCGTTCCTCAGCCCAGACGCTTCGTGGAGCAAGGTTAATTTCCAACAAGGTCCTGAGGCCTCTCCAAGGGACGCCTCTCTGCTCCATGCCCCTCTTCACGGCCACCGCAGGGCAGCTTTCATCTGACATTTCAGAAAGGCGCCTGGCTTTGGAATGAAACAGCTGGGATCTGCCTCCAGAAACGGGAGCATTTCTGCTCCGTCAAGGATGCCAAGAGGAATGTGGCAAAACTGCAGCGAGTTCCCCGTTGCTGTCACACCTTTCGTCCTCCAAAAGGGCGCTTTTACTCCGTTTGTGGACAGAGCACAAAATCACAGCTGCCAGCCGTGCTCCTTTCTGCTTTTTTTTCTTTTTTTCTTTTTTTTTTTTTCCATTTTAAAACAGCAAAGCGAAGAGGATTTGCCCCAAAAATATTCCTGCTGGAAAGCCTTTATAGCTTTGCCCACAGCAGGTTTTTTTGGCAACCCTGCCCACGGCAGGTGGGTTGGAACAAGATGACTTTCGAGGTTCTGTCCAACCCAAATCATTCCATTGTTTTGTAATCTTTAAGGTCCTTTCCAACCCAACCATCCCATGGTTCCATGACCTTTAAGGACCCTTCCAACCCATCCCATGGTTCTGTGACTTTTAAGGACCCTTCCAACCCAACCATCCCATGGTTCTGTGATCTTTAAGGACCCTTCCAACCCAACCATCCCATGATTCTGTGATCTTTAAGGTCCTTTCCAACCCAACCATCCCATGGTTCCATGACCTTTAAGGACCCTTCCAACCCAACCATCCCATGGTTCTGTGACCTTTAAGGACCCTTCCAACCCAACCATCCCATGGTTCTGTGATCTTTAAGGTCCCTTTCAAACCAACTTACTTCATGGTTCCATGACCTTTAAGGACCCTTCCAACCCAACCATCCCATGGTTCTGTGACCTTTAAGGACCCTTCCAACCCAACCATCCCATGGTTCCACCCTTTAAGGTCCCCTCCAACCCAAACCATTCCATGGCTCTGTGATCTTTAAGGACCCTTCCAACTCAACCATCCCATGGTTCCATGACCTTTAAGGACCCTTCCAACCCATCCCATGATTCTGTGACTTTTAAGGACCCTTCCAACCCAATTCATCCCATGGTTCTGTGACCTTTAAGGACCCTTCCAACCCAACCATCCCATGGTTCCATGACCTTTAAGGTCCCTTCTCGCCCAACCATCCCACGGTTCCACGATCCGATCACTTCCCACCCTGACTCCTCTTCCAGGCATCCCAGCACCTCGCTTCCCTCCAATACGTGATGGGAGAAATAAACTGGATGCCTTTACCCCCCAAAATCTCATCTGGGCTTTGAGGGCAACCCAGCAGCGATGCCAGGGCTCAGCCAAGAGCAAAGCGCGTCTCTGCCGCAGGTTGGGAGCAGGGATCCATTTTCTCCCCTCCGTCACAACGCCCTTTTCAGCGAGGCAGAGAGAAGCCAATGGGCACCGATGCGAATCACAACCCCCCCAAAAAACAAACCATAAAACAAGCAAGAAAAAAGAGAACAGAGATTGGAAGTTTGAATTATTACCAAACAGGAATTCTTTATTCTCCCAGCCAGGACCCAAATGTGGGATTCGGTTCTTTACAGCTGTGAAGGACACGGAGCCAATATTGCTGGAAAGGTCAGGTTTTCCCAGAATCGTGCCAGACGAAGGAAGGAGCTCCTCCAGAACTGATTTCCCCACATCTGTTTGGACAGAGGGACTGATGAGCAGATGACTCCCAACAGGAAACCGTGACTTATTTCTTAAATCCTGACCTCCAGAGCTGTGAGCGCAGCTGAGAACCCGGCCGATGTTTCTGTACGTGGTGTTTTACTCCTGAGCCTCCCCCCAGGGGGCTGTTGTCAGTCTGATTGTACAAGTGTGTATTCCCTCAAAAGATTAAAAAAAAATAAAAATAAAAACGGCTCACGGTCGTCGTCTGTGGTCACGGAGGAGCTCCGTAAGCCCCCAGTGCTGGGGATGAAAGGAGACGAAATCCCGCTGCATTTTGCTTCTTCTTTCTTTCTTTTTGGCCTTCCCAAGGCTGTTGTGGAGGGAACGGGCAGAAGGAAATCTGTGTGACACAACTGCAGCCCTTGCACAGCTCACCCCTCTCCATAAAGCAACAGCCACTGATGGGCACTCGCTTCCCTTCGCGTTCGCTCCGCAGCTGGAGACCCTTCACCATCACTTCAAGGTCTCTTCCTAAGAGGGAACGGGGAAACTTTTGGCAGAAGCAGCAGATTTGGGTGTAATTTTGCCCACGTGGCCGCTGGGTGCTTTGCTACAGGCGATTCGCTTCCACCTTTGTTACACAGTGGGTTGCAAGGGGGTCCCGCTGGGGTTTCCTCTACTCAGCACTGGTGAGGCCGCACCTCGAGTGCTGGGTTCTGTTTCGGGCCCCTCACTACAAGAAAGACATGGAGGCCCTGGAATGTGTGCAGAGAAGGGCAACGAAATGGTGAGGGGTCTGGAGCACAGGGCTGATGAGGAGAGGCTGAAGGAGCTGGGAATGTTCAGCCTGGAGAAGAGGAGCTCAGGGGAGACCTCACTGCTCTCTATGACTTCCTGAAGGGAGGTTGTGGTGCAAAAGGGTCTGGCCTCTTCTCCCAGGCAAATAGTAGGAGCCGAGAAAACGGCCTGAAGTTGTACCAGAGGAGGTTTAGGTTGGATATGAGGAGAAACTTTTTCTCTCAGAGGGTGGTCAGGCACTGCAATGGCTGCACAGGGAGGTGGTGGAGTCGTCGTCCCTGGTAATGTTCAAGAGGCGCCTGGATGAGGAGCTACAAGATGTGGTTTAGTGCTTGTGGCACTGATAGGAATGGGAGGGGGGTTGGACTGGATGATCTTGCAGGTCGTTTCCAACCCTGTGATTCTGTGTCAGGGGGTCCCACTGCACCAGCAGCACAGCCAGGTATCGGGGCTCGGCGATTGCTCCCAGCTGTGTTTTGCAGCTGGAAACGCGTCCTTGCAGCAATAAAAGACAGCAAGCACTGCTTCTGAGGCAGGAGAAGCTTTGCGATTGGGATCTGACTCTTTTGCAAAGCCCCGATGGGCGGCGGGGAGGAATGCGCGCTCAGGGGGAGGAAATCACTCCAGGGAAAGGCTGAGCTCACCCTGCAGCAGAGCACAGAGCAGGAGGGCAGCAGGCTGGACGACACCCACGCTTTCTGGCTTTGCCTCAGTGCTTTTGAGAGGAGCAAACCTCGCTCTCAGCACACAGGGCTCACAACAGCAAGCTGGAAATTCCCCCTGCCCAGAGAGGAGGAGAAAGGGCGAAGGAAAGCAAAACAGAGAGGCCAGAGTGGAAAACCCTTCATCTGCCCAGCAGCAGCTCGAAGCCCAGTGGGCCAGCAGCCAAGCAAAGCAAACGGTGTGTGCGAATGGAATGCGGCTCCACACGGCTCTCTGCCCTCTGCCGCTGCCCACCAAAGACCCGGGGCTGCTGGCAGCACTAAATCTCCCCCATCGACGGCCAACACCAAAGGGACGGTGCTGATTTATGGCTCCTTTCAGTAAGAGAAGCAGAGTGTAAAACGAGAATATTTTCTGGGTGAAAAATTAAAGAGGCTTTCGGGGGAGTTCCTCATTCCGGGGCGGTGTGTGATTCACCTCCAGAGTTCAGCTTGGAAAGAAAAGTGACATCAGCCAAAGCCATGGGAGGGAAACAAAAAACAAACCCGGTGCTCAACTTTGTGTTCTGAGCTCCAAAAAGGGGGAAAATGAGGCAGGGAATCATCGCGGCGATCCTCGGGTGTCTGTTAGATACAGAGCTCAGAACACTTTAATTAATTATTCTTCGTTGCCCCCCAGCTGGGTGGGTGTTTTTGGTTTGGGGGGACACGCAGGGAAGCTTGGAACAGCTCAGAGTTTCCTTGCAGGGACACTCAGTGGGGAAGGGAAAGCAGAACCGACCCCCGCCTTGCTTAACCTGTGAACACAATCAGAGCTGAGAACAATTAAAAGCGGGGGCAATAAAACACAGGACGGGGCGATGGCCGCGGGATGGGAGCCAAGAATCAGAACCACAGTGACAAATAGAGCTGCACGTCCCATGTTTTCAGATGGCAGCTTCTGCTGGGCAAAAAACAGCGGAGCAACCGCTGCCTTCTTCAGGTGCTGCCCTTCAGGACGTTTCCCAAAGGTAGAAACACAGACGTGGTGGATGGGTTTGGAAATAACAGCTTCCTCCTCTGTTTTCAGAGGCAGTTTCTCACCCCCTTTATGTGGCTTTGCTGCTCTGCCCTCCTTCTCCACTTGTCACAGCCAAAACGCAGAGGGAAAAGAGCAGCAGAACTCCATCTCCACAGTCCCCAGGTTCAGGATCGGTCGGGTCCTGCTGCTCCATGCGAGGTGCCCCAGCAGTTCAGAGGTTAATGCATCGATGAAGAAATAATGGAGCAGCTCCAGCTCTGGAGGAGACGTGACCGGGCTTCAGAGGGGGCCCACAGCACCTCAACCACAATGAAAAATGGCTTTGCTGCCACCGTGCTGACGTTTCAATGCGGTGTCAACAACACGCAAAGCAAACCTCCGCTCCCATGCAGCCCTCAATAAAGCTGTTCGGGCCACAGAATTCGCCAACTGCGCTGCTCAGGATAAACGCATCGCCAAAGAATCACTGGAAAGAAGTTTTTCCTCCAACAGCGCTTCCCAAAATGCCTTTTGGGAGCAAAGCTGCCGTCTCCTTTTCCTCCCGACTTGGAAAGCAGAACGCGTTTTAGCTTTTACATTTCAAACACTGTTCAGTGAAAAGGAAATCGTTTCCTGTGAGCGTGGATGCTCTCATCTGCTCCATCTCAAATCCCACTCCTGCTGCAGTGCATTGAGACGATTCGGGCCGTGCTGGAAGCTGGAAGCCACTGCCATCCGCTGCACCTCTCCCCAAAGGAGTTAAACTCTGCCCGGCTGCAGGATTGAGCTGAATGAAGGCTGCCAACCCCGCTTGGCCTCACGCCGGGGTTGGAACGCGGATCTGTGCGACCCGGGGGTGGAATGGCAGTGGGAATGGATCCGAGCCAAGTTCCTGCTCCATGCCTCACCTTTCCATTCAGGTACAACAACTCACGGCCTCAAGCTGCGCCAAGGGAGGCTCAGTTTGGATGTTAGGGAAAAAAATCCCTCTTCCGAAAGAGTGGTTGGATGCTGGAATGGGAGCAGCGGGGGTCGAGAAAAAGCAGCTTGCAGAGGGCAGAATCTCTTCATCCACTCCTTGTAAAACATCCTTACAGAGTGATGGTTTATTTCCATTCATTACAGCCCAGAAATCGGGCTCTGCGTCCCCCCCCCCAAAGCGAGGACGCGGGCAGCAGCCCCCCACCCTCCCAGGGGCAGATCTTCATTGCGCTGCATTGCTCAGAGTTGGAGGAGCTCTGAAGTTTGCAGTTGTTCTGCTGTGCGAAGACTCCCTCTGCTGTTCTAAAGCTGCACAAAGCCCACGGGGCTCCCAAACTGGGCAAGCTGGGAATTCCATGCTTGAGGAAACAAGGAGTCAGTTCAGCTCCAAAAGCAGCTCCTGTCAACAGTGGAAAAAGCCAGAGCTGGGTTTCAGTCTTCAGCGGCGTGTTGGCTGGTTACTTGTTATTGGGACAAAGGGAAAACGCTGTCCTCAGAGACAAAAGGAATTCCTCAGTACAAGCTGCAGAAATAAAAGGTGGCTTTCGCTTCCTACCCAAGTGACCCATGGGTTTTTCAGAGGGGGAGCAGCGACCCAACCAAGCACTGTGATGAGAATGCAGAGTATCAAGAGTTTTCTTTTGCTTCTGACCATGAGTTTTAATTCTGGGGGGTTCCCTGAGAAGAAAACAACACCAATAGACAAATAAAAGACATGAAAACACACAGGAGAGATTTTCGATATCAGTATTCAGTATTCAGTATTTCCATGCTTCCCATTTCTCTGGGAAGAGCACAGAATCACCGAACCCCACAACAGGTAAGGTTGGAGGAGACCTTAAAGATCACAGAACGTTGATTGGGTTGGATTTGGAAGAGACCCCAAAAACACACAACCACAGAACGGTTGGGTTGGAAGGGTCCTTAAAGATCAAAGAATGATGGGATCACAGCACGGTTGGGTTGGAAGGACCCCAAAGCCCCCCCAGCCCCACCAGCTCAGGGCCCCATCTACAGCCTCACGCACCTCCAGGGATGGGGCACCACAGCTGTAAGCCTCACCACACTCTGGATAAAGAATTTCCTCCTCGCATCCACCCTAAATCTCCCCTTTTTGAGTTTAAAGCCCTTCTCCCTCATCCTACCTCTCCCTACTCACGTAAAAAAGTTGCCCTCCTCTTGTTCCCAAGCTCCCTTCGAGCTTTATGATTAAATTAAAGAACATCTTTAAGATTACCGCTTCTTTCAGAATTCCCCTCCCCTTTATAAACCAGCTCTTCAACTTACAAAGAACCCCCAGCAGGAAAACCCGCATCTCTCAGCACATCCGGGGCTGGATTTTTGCACCTCTCACCTCACGCCGGCAGCTTCACCCTCTCAGCGCAGCGCAGGAAGGCGTTGACGTGCTCACTGCAGTTCAGCACCGACTCCTGGTTCTCCTTCAGGCACTGCTCGAAGGCCACGAAGGGCTCAGCGCAGTCCTCCCGGATCCGCTGCACGATGGGGCTGTGGGGCAGCACGGGACCCTCAGCTCACAGCCATGCAGGACCCATTTCTCCACCTTAAAGCCCCATTTCCCCTGCACAGAGCCCAAAAGGCTGCCATTCTTCCCCACTCAGAGCCTCACAGACCACATTCTTGACCCCATAGAGCCCCATAGGCAGCCATTCTCCCTCCATCAGAGCCCCATTTCCCCACTCAGAGCCCCACAGACCACATTCTTGACCCCATAGAGCCCCATAGGCTGCCATTCTCCCTCAGTCAGAGCCCCATTTTCCCACTCAGAGCCCCACAGACCACATTCTTGACCCCACAGAGCCCCACTCCTCCTGGACAGAGCCCCATTCCCCCCCATAGAGCCTCATTCCACCCCCCCAGAGCCCCATTTTTCCCCCAGAGTTCCATTCTACCTCCATAGAGCCCCATTCCTCCCCCACAGAGCCCCATTCCCCCCCTCCATAGAGCCCCATGTTCCCCATTGAGCCCCATTTCCCCCCCATAGAGTCTCATAGAGCCCCTAAGGCCCCATTTCCTCCTCCCTTCCCCCGTAGCCCCACAGGCTCCATTTCCTCCCCCCTCAGAGCCGCAAAGGCTCCGTTTTACCCTCAGAGCCGCAAAGGCCCCGCATTCCCCTCCCCCTCCCCACCCGCACTCACTGCGTGGCGGCGCAGCGGGACATGCTGAGGCGGAGGCTGTGACAATCCGTCTGCCACGAAGTCGGGCTGGCGGCCACGCAGCGCCCGTACTGCTCCATCTCGTTGCGGCAGTACCGCGCCGTGATCTCCAGGGCCGCCTGCCTGTGAGGCGACACCGAATGAGCGCGGCCCGACCCGGCCCGCTTCCCCCCTCCATGTCCCCTACTTACATCGCTCCACTGCCGCTCTGCCCATGCGCAGACCTAGCATCACCGCACTACGCATGCGCAGGCCCAGCACTACGCATGCGTGATTTTCTGCATCGTCCCAATACGCTCGCTCGAGCTCAGTACTGCGCATGCGCAGAGGCCAGCACCGCGGCACTGCGCATGCGGAGCCTTCTGTGTCTCCGCATCACGCATGCGCAAGCACCAGCACCACGCCATCCGCTCACTACGCATGCGCAACCGCTAGCACCGCGGCACCGCGCATGCATTACTTCCCGCATCTCCTCACTGCGCGTGCGCAAAATTCCCGAGCGCTGCCGTGGCTTTCTTTGGCGCACGCGCAGTCTTTGCCCCCTCCCCTCCAGCCTCACGCGCTCTCGCGTTGCCTGCTGTGCAAGCGGGGCTTCTCCCTACCGGAAGCGGAAGTGCGCCGTCTGCAGGCGGTCCCTGGGAAGATGGCGGCGGCCGGCCCGGCTCCGGGCCCCGCGGACGAGCTGGTCTCGTCGGTGACGCTGTACCGCCGGCGGCCGCGGCTCCTCCACGGCACCGTGCTGCCCTTCGTGGCGGGGCTCTACCCGGCCTGGTTGTGGCTGTGGGGGCCGCGGGTGTGGGCAGCGTGGGGGGAAGCGGCGGCGGCGGAGGAGGAAGCGCAGGGCCCGGGCCCGGCTTCCCCTGAGGCCGCGCTGTTGGCGTTGGCCGCTATCGGCGTCCTTCATCTGCTGACGGCGCTCTCGGGGCTGTGGTCGGTGCACGCGCATTGCGCGCTCACGTGCGTTCGGGTGAGTTCGGAGGGGTGGGAGGGGGGAGGGCAAGGCGGTGATGCTCCGAGCCTGGAGGAGCCCGAGGACGGGCGTGGGGCGGTGTGAGGGGGGGCCTTTGGGTCCTTCCAACCCAACCGTGCTGTGATTCTGCGGTTTGAGGGTCTTTAAGGACCCTTCCAACCCATTATGTGGCTCTGTGGTCTTTAAGGACCTTCCCAACCCATACCGTAGTTCTGTGATCTTTAAGGACCCTTCCAACCCATTATGTGGCTCTGTGATCTTTAAGGACCTTCCCAACCCATTCCATAGTTCTGTGATCTTTAAGGACCCTTCCAACCCATTATGTGGCTCTGTGGTCTTTAAGGACCTTCCCAACCCATTCCATAGTTCTGTGATCTTTAAGGACCCTTCCAACCCATTATGTGGCTCTGTGATCTTTAAGGACCTTCCCAACCCGTTCCGTAGTTCTGTGATCTTTAAGGACCCTTCCTATCCAATCCGTGGCTCTGTGATCTTCAAGGACCCTTCCAACCCAAGCTGTTCCACTCTTCTGTGTTCCATCTGTTGCTGAGGGACCACTGTTTGTCTGTTCTGCTGTAGCCCCATTTTACTGCCCCGTGTGTCCTGACCGCAGATCAAGTATTGAGTGCAGCTCCTTTGTTGGCGGGTTCCATTTTGAGGATGGATTCTCACAATCCTCACCTCAGCTCTGCAAAATAAAGCACCAAAAGACAAAGATTGCTTTGTTCTGCGTGTCTTGGTGTGATCCAGCAGGGCTTCCTTCGGCTTCTCATCAAAATCGGGGCTCTGTGATCTGCTTTGTGACGTGCTTGTGCTGTGTTTCAGGAACCCAGCCCTAAGAAAGCCACACTGGCTAAAGTTGTGCCAACCCCCAATAACGGATCTGTAGAACTGGTGCCGCTCCACAGAGACCAGGTGAGGCAGAGATGCAGAGCTGCTCTTCCTTTGCTCCTGGCTTAACTGGTTTGGGAAATGTCAGCTGTAGTCGGTCGCTACGGGGATGTCAAAGATCAAAGGCAGAATCCCGCAGCAGTGAAGAGACAAAGAGGGGTTGGGGTTTCTGTTCTTTCTGGTACGCCTCCAGTAGTTGTTTTTGTTCTCTTTCTGCAGGATGAGGACGGGCAGGAGGCTCTCTCCTTTGAGTTTCAGAAAATCAAATACTCCTATGAGATAAACGGCAAGAAGCAGTTTCTTCCCGTCGCTTTCCCCGTGGAGCATCCGCTGTGTTATTACCAGAACGCCCGGGGCTATCAGGAGGACAAAGATATCCGAGCAGCTGAGAAGAAATATGGCACAAATAAGTAAGTTTTCCATGCGCAGATCTCTCTTTTTCGGAACGAGAGGATAGGAAATGATCCCAAAGCGTCGGTCACCAAGCTGTGCTCTCAAATGTTTCCTCCTTGCCTTTGCTTGGCAGCTGTCAGGTTTGTCTTAAGGGCAGAGAACGGGAGATAGAAAGTAATTAAGTGCAGGGAATAATGGAAAGGAAATGGTGGGTCTCTGGGTGTTGTGAGGCAGGGGCTGCGGGTGGCTCTGGGTCGGGCTTTCGTTGAGAGCACAGAACTTTTAGGTTAATGAGGGTGCAATTAGTATTAATTTTTTGTTTCCCCAGGGCTGAGATGGTGGTGCCGGAATTCTTGGAGCTTTTTAAAGAAAGAGCTACAGCACCGTTCTTCGTCTTCCAGGTAAAGCAGACAGACAGAAGGAGCTGCAAATGCTTTGTTCTGCCACAAAAGGAGAGAATTCCTCGTAGGTTTGGGTGGCAGAATCACTTCTCTTAAATCCGAAGCTGTTCTCACCCTGTGACATTGATTTATGTCACTGCTGTGGGAGCCATCTCCTTTCTGCCTAATGACTTCCCGCAATCTGCTATGGTTTTTCTCAGCTTCATGCAACCAAATGCATTCTCAGTTACGTGAGAAAGATGCCTGGAAATGGAAGGCTTTGGCTTTCTGAGCGAGACGAGAGCAATTTGTGTGCTGTGTTCTCCCTGCAGGTGTTCTGCGTGGGTCTGTGGTGCCTGGATGAGTATTGGTACTACAGCGTCTTCACCCTCTCCATGTTGGTGGCGTTCGAAGCTTCCCTGGTCCAGCAGCAAATGAGGAACATGTCGGAGATCCGAAAAATGGGCAACAAGCCCTACATGATCCAGGTAACCCTGGAAACGAATTTGAGCCCACAGTGTGCCCAGGTGGCCAAGAAGGCCAAGGGCAGCCTGGCCTGCATCAGAAACAGTGTTGCAAGCAGGAACAGAGAGGTGATTGTGCCCCTGTACTCAGCAATGGTGAGGCCGCACCTCGAGTGCTGGGTTCAGTTTTGGGCCCCTCGCTGCAAGAAAGACATGGAGGGCCTGGAACGTGGTCAAAGGAGGGCAATGAAATGGTGAGGGGTCTGGAGCACAGGGCTGATGAGGAGAGGCTGAAGGAGCTGGGAATGTTCAGCCTGGAGAAGAGGAGCTCAGGGGAGACCTCACTGCTCTCTATGGCTGCCTGAAGGGAGGCTGCAGGGAGCTGGGGGTCGGCCTCTGCTCTCGTGCCATCAGGGATAGGAGCAGAGGGAACAGCTTCAAGCTACGGCAGGGGAGATTCAGGCTGGACATGAGGAAGAATTGCTGTTCAGAAAGGGTGGTCAGGCACTGGAATGGATGCACAGGGAGGTGGAGGAGGCACCGAGCCTGGGGGTGTTGAAGGAAAGGCTGGATGCTGTGCTGAGGGACGTGGTTCAGTGGGAGCTGTTGGGAATGGGGGAACGGTTGGACTGGGGGAGCTTTGAGGTCTTTTCCAACCTTGGGGATTCTATGATTCTATGAACCCCGATCAGAGGGGAAATAATCACGGGCACTGAGGAATCGCTCCTGGGCAGTGCTGGAGGTTTGGACGCGGCTGTTAACGGAACTGCTGTTCCTTTTTGTCATCCTTGTCCTTTTCAGATGATGCCAGGACTTGTGAAAACGCCTTTTTATCTTTACATTTTTTAAATTGTTTTTCTACAGGTCTACCGAAATCGGAAGTGGAGGCCCATTTCCAGCGACGAGATCATCCCGGGGGATATCGTCTCCATTGGTAACGCTGCCCGTGATCCAAAGCTGTTTTAAAGCTGTGCTCCTCCTGATTCGTGAAGCGACACTGAGTGAAATCACACAGTGTAAAAATACCCAAATACCGAAAAATCCATCCTGGTTTTGGGCACTTTTGAGGGCTTTGGTTCATCGGTGCCGCAGCTGAGGGGTTCTAAGAGTTGATCTCTTCTTGTTGTCTTGAAGGAAGGTAGATCTCTAGATAAATCGTGGGGGAAGATGAAGAGTTTCCTTCCTGCTGACAGCACCTCCCTGGGAAGGAAGGGGGGAGGAATGGCAGGGCTCTGTCTCAGCTGTGCTTCCCTGTTAAAGGCTCTTTCCCCATCTTTGGAGCGTCAGTGGGAACGAAATGATTTGAATTGGGAACTTTTCCAGCCTCATCAGAGGCCAAATAACCTTCGGGGTTATTTGAGACACGGACTCAAGGGATAGAGTTGGTAGCCCAGGGGTGATTCAGACCTTTAGGAGCCTTCTGTATCTCAGCTAAACAGGAGAGCTGCTCCCTTCCAGACAGCCACGCGTCGCTTCTGCCTCTCAGCTCCTGAGTTTTATTGTCTTCGTGGCAGGCCGATCTCCTCACGAAAACCTCGTGCCGTGTGATGTGCTGCTGCTACGCGGGAGGTGCATTGTGGACGAAGCGATGCTGACCGGAGAGTCTGTGCCGCAGATGAAGGTCTGTGTGAAACAATTCTGTTTTGTCCTGCTTGGAAAATAGAAATATCGAAGGCGTTGCAGTCGGGTGCACGTTGTCAGTCTGTCTGTGTGAGTGCTGGCGTGAGCAGCCTGGCCTGCTTGTTTTCATCTCCCTGTCAGCGATGGATGATTTCTGGTAAATGAGAACTGGAGGCCTGCTTGGTCTGGCTGAGTCTCCAGTCTTGGAGGCAGAACTACAAAGGCATGGCGTTGTCCTCCCACGCATTCCCCTGTCTGAATTCTTCTGGTTGGGTGGAGGTGGGAGGAATAAAGCGTAAAGAACTTCAAAACCCTTCTTGGTGCACCGGGGGGGGGGGATGTAGAGATGATAAAGGAGCGATCTCAGAGCCTCCCTCGCTGAACTCGCTGTGCTGAGGGGGAACTGCATCTCCCACACTGGGATGTCTGGCTCCAAATCCAGAGCACGTGAATTCCTGGGTTCTCCTCGGGCTGCTTTTAGCTGGAGTGAAGCTGAGGGCGCCTCACGTGGGACGCGGAAAGAGAGGAGCGCTCCACGTTGACTTGTCAATAGCAGTGAACCTGAGAGCTGAGCATTGTCCTGCAGGAGCCCGTGGAGGACCTCAGCCCAGAGCACGTTTTGGACATGCAGACGGATGCCCGGCTGCACATCATATTTGGTGGAACGAAGGTGGTGCAGCACATCCCACCCCAGAAAGCCAGCA